GTGTTAGTTTTTTTTCTTTTTTTAGGGTGGGGTTTATCATTTTCGATTTCATCTTGTAAATAGCTATCATTATCTGATTCTACTTTTTGGTTATCATCTTCTCTATTAAATTGATTTTTGTTATCTTGGAATTCTGAGATTACAGATTCAATCGGTTGATCATTTTCTAACATACAAGAAGAAGTATCATTTTTTACGTAGTAACAAAAGTCTTGATTGGTGCAGTAAGTTTTTCTGGTACTTGAGCAGAATCAAGATCATCATCAATAATATCAATAATGGATGGTGCATTTGGTATCACCACTGAAGAATTTTCAGATAAGTTAGCATTGATCATAGAGGTTTTTAAATAATCGATGTCAGTAGCTTGGATCATTATCTTGCCAGATTTCAAAATTCTAATGAGGCCTGATATAAAATAGTTTGATTGTAATTTAATATTCAAACACGATTGTCCCAAATATTTAAACTTAGGGGATTGAAGAGGATAAATAACAGTCATATCTATTTTGACATCGGGTTTAGTAGTAACAGAATTGTAATCAATCGCTTCGGCACTGAAATGGATAAAATCTTCAATTTTTTTTGGCTCATGAGTAACAGTCACCAAGAACATAGAATAAGAAATGCATATGGGAAGATTTGTGGTGTCAAATTCACAGTGGGAATTTTTATTGTTAACAATAGTCGAGTATGCGATACTGAAGCATGGTTCTGAATTTTCTATGATGTATTTTCCCGAGATAAACACAATATCACCACTTTCGAATGTATCAAATGGTTAATCATTAGGAAAAAAATATTTTAACTTAATTGGTTGAAATAAATTTTTGAAAGTTTATATTTTGCGACTCTATAAGAGCATAAGCGATTACTCATTACAGAGACTATCTCGACAAGTAATGCAACGTGAGAAACCATTTTTTTAAAATGTTATGATAGTTAATTTTGTAATAGTTTAAAAGAAATCATTTTAAGCAGTTGGAGGCTTTACTTTATATAAATAAAAATTGAGTTCTTTACTATATTAGTAATAGAGGTTTTTAATAATTGATATTTCTCATCTAATCATTTCATACGATCAAATTATAAAAGAATATATTATAATTCTTAATTGTTAATGTTCTGATGAAAAAATCAAATGATTTTTGCCATAGTTCAATAATATTTGTAAATGGGAACGTTAACAGACTAAACTCAAAAGATGTTCTTCATGAATTTGATTTATTGAATTAAGTTCATTAATTTTTTTTTTTTATACATTAATTCAATATGTTATATTATCATTTTGGCTTGCATAAATTCAAGTTACGACATAGAGCTTGATTATAACATAGGATTGATTATTAATAAAAATATTATCTGAAACATTTCATGTAAAAATTTGACTGGTTAATCATTTAAATTAGTATAGTCTTATTTAATAGATCGGAAATAACTGGTCAATAACCTGATAATGTTTATTTTGTTTTGTTCATAAATTAATTACAAATCAACATATAATAGTGTATTAAAAAATTGAAGAATTTTAGTTATTGTAGTTTTGGTTTTATGCAATAAATTTATGCAGTAATGGCGATAAATATAGGAATTATGCATAAATTTAACCTGTTTTAGATTAAATTTATTACAAGCTTATAATATAGATGATTGTCAAGAAATCATACCATACTCTTAAATTAATTGCCAAAATCAGCAAAATAATTTGTAAAACTTGTAAAATTGTGCATAGCCACAAATTACTGTACTAACAAGAAAAATTAATCGTATGAATTTATAAATTTTGATATTTATCAATATCTCTTTTAAATAGAATAGAACTGTGTAATGTTTAATAATATAAATTCCTAAGTGCATTTAATATTCTTTAATATTAATCTAAAATCAGCACAATGATTCAGATAATGATAGCTATTTACAAGATGAAATCGAAAATGATAAACCCCACCCTAAAAAAAGAAAAAAAACTAACAC